TTTGCTCTCTCCACATTAAAAATTGCTCTGCAGAATCAAAAGATTGACAGAAGAAAAAAATCAAGTACTGCACTGAAGGAACAGCAAGCTTGTGCTGGAACACAACCACCCACGTTAGAAACTGCTGTTCTACATAGAAAAATTGGGGCATCATTTGAGATGTATGGAAGGTTTCTGCAGGCCTGTCTTCATCAGAGAACAGTTCCACCACAACATCCTGCTATGATGCATACACTGCAAAACTTCCCACACTACTGAAATCCATGGAATTTCTGCTGCAGAACACATTTGGCCCTCCACAAAAGCCACTGGGAGATTCAAAATAGAGCTCAAGTGTAAGAAAAGTTGAAAATAGGGTGCTTTACTCTGCATCAGAAAAGGGTAAACAGGACTGGAATAAGAAAACTGGATTTATACGTTTATTATTTTTATAAAACAGATGCTTAACAACTCATACTGACCTGTAACACTGTAGCCTTCCTGTCTTTTATTTTTCTATTTCTTCAAGTAAAGACACTTCTCTAATACAGAGACCAAACACTGATTTTGCACATCACATCCACGGCAACAGAAGGAATAGCTACTGCAACACCTTTCTACGTGGAACATCTACTTTATGAACCCAAGCTGCACACAAGGAAGTTAACAGGGCTGGAATGTCTTGTGAGCCTAGCCCTGGAAAAGACACAACACAGTTTCATGCTTTCTAGCTGCATAAACTATGCATACAGTTTTATCTACTACTATTTTTTCCTAGATTGTTTATACCAAGAAACTGAGTTGCATGGCAAAGTAAAAAAAAAAAAAAAAACCACTAAGAAAAAACATCCAACCTTAACTTCAGAAGCAGCCTTGGTAAATACTAAAACTGATGTAATTTTAATGTTAGCTATTTAAAAAGTATATATCCTTTAGCAACCTGCTTAACTAGCAGCAGAGAAGGAAGAAACTAATCTGTAGTGATCTCACATTAAGAACTTTTGCCAAACGTGATTCGAGAGTTCACCTTGGATTAAGTGCAGTGTTTAATACAGTATCATTTGACCAATGTACTGTTGGGAGACAGAAAGATCCATCAGACATGTCTGTTACTATTAGTATGACCTTTGAAATATGAGCATTTAAGCCTCATGACACTGAAGTTTTCAATAACAAGCATAATAAGGCATAAAGATTTTACAGCTAAGGCTAACTTTTTTTTTTTATTTAAATCTGTGGTTTGCTTTCTACTTGCTAAGGTTCCAACAAGAAGCCCTCTACTGCTAGATTTCTCTGAGAACATGTTCTCTCTTACAGGGTTGGTTACCTTTTCAATTATCAAGGGAAAGAATTCATCTGCTTCCTTAAAGCAGAGCCAATGAGCCTTTCTAATAATGGCCAATTATGAAAAGATTCACTTTTCACTTCATGATAAACTAGATATTTATGTCCTCGTCATGACCATTTCCTGAGGAAAAAAGCATGCTGCACAGCTCATGATGAACAGGAAAAATATAAAATAATTTGCTTTTTCTCCTCCAACTATTCAGGATTCTTCCTTCTTTTTTTTATTTTTTTTTTTTAGCTAATCCTTTTTTTCTATGTCAAACTTCACGCACACTATTTCATAATATCACATACTAGTAAAAGCTCAATATGAAAACAAATCTTACATCAACTAATAATCACAGTTACTGGCTTAGTCTAGCTAAAAAAAAAAAACTACGAATGATGGAGGTTTTCATGGCTTTTTGTTGTTTATTTGTTTTAAAGAAATCTATCATTATATTCTTTGTTTATTGTCTCTGCAAAAAATAAGACGCCTACATCAAGCCAAAGAGTTTCCTAAGATTTTAAATGTAGAAAAATGAATTAACAACTTAGTTTGTCCACCTTCCAACCTGGAAGTCATATTTTTCTTTCTGAAAGAATCAACAGGAATTATTGTAGTACTCTACATTAATCCACATCCTAGCATACTGACATTAATATTCCTGTTCAGCTTTCTGAAACTTGTGGTTTTTTTTTTTTCAAGGTTGTATTTCACCATATTCTCTAAAATTGGGGAACTCTGAATTGGTAGTCTAACAAAACTCCAAAATGTGTCAGATATTAGCTGCAGTCCCTTCAGTTTAAATCCCATTCAAGCACCTCTCTGTGTACGTGTTTTGATGCCCTAAAAAACTGCCTTAACCTTTAGGTGCGTTAGGATTGAATGGCTCAGTGGACGTTGGGAATTTAAACTCGTGAAAATAACTGTGCTCTGCAGGCAGTGGCATCCTTTCAGAGGTTCTATGAGGGAAGCTTTAATTTGTGTTTCGCGTTTCATGGGAGCCCTGCTAGTAAAGGTGCCTGAGGGACATGCTGAAGCGA